TAAATTTCACCCATTTTGTGGTTCTCTTAAGTTGTCTAATATCTATTTTGCAGATGGCCTAATGGTCTTCTGCAAAGCTGATAGGGCAACTATATTAGGTATCAAGAAAGTGCTGGCGGAATTCTTTGAGGTTTCTGGATTAGAAGGTAATGCTCAGAAGTCAGAAATCTACTTTGGTGGAGTGGACTGCCAACAACATCAGGAATTTTGTGACTTGACAGGCTTTAAAAAAGGTACTTTCCCAATGTGCTACCTTGCCATAACTTTGTCTCCTAAGAAATGGTCTATCCGAGAATGTTAGGAGATAGTAAATAAGATGGCGGGCAGGATAAGGTGTTGGAGTTCAAGGCACTTGCCATATGCTGGCAGAGCGCAGTTGATTAATTCAGTACTTTTATCCTTACATCTGTATTGGAGTTCCATTTTCATATTGCCATAGAATATTATAAATGCTGTTGATAGTGTTTGTAGAGAGTTCTTGTGGGGTGCCAAAAGTAGTGGCAGAGCAATATACTTAGTAAAATGGGAAGATATATGTTACAGGAAGTCTGAAGGTAGTTTAGACATCAAGGATGTCAAAATCTGGAACACAGCTGCCACACTTAAACAAGTCTGGAGTTTAGCTCAAGAAGCTGATAGCTTGTGGCTCAAATAGGTCCATGCTGTTTACTTGTCAAAAACCAATATATGGAATGTAATGCCCAAGTTGGACAGTGGTTGGCACTGAAAAAAGATTCTGAAAGTAAGGGATCTTGCTAAGGATGGTTTGCTGGTAACAGGTGGTTAAGTGCTGAAAATGGTATGTATTCTATTAGGTCGGGATACTATTGGTTGAGAGGAGTTAGAGAAAAATAGAGTGGTTCCCCATGTGTCTGGTCACCTTGAACAGTGCCTAAGCACTCATTCATTAGTTGGCTTGTGTGGAGGCAAAGAATCCTGACAAGAGATAGATTGAAGGCCACAAATGTTACAGTGGTAGATTGTAAATGCATTCTTTGTGCATCAGCTGAAGAATCAGCTAGGCATCTATTTTTTGAATGATGCTATTCTTATGATGTTCCACTACAAGTTCAGAAGTGGTTAGGAAGCAGGAGGATAGATAGGAGGATGGAAAGGTGGCAGTCACAAATAATGCAAGTTTGGACAGGAGCAAGGATGAGAAGAGGTATTTTCTGTGCTGCTGTAAATGCAGTAATCTATCATGTCTGGAAGAGAGGAATAGGAGGGTATTCATTGGTATAACAAGGCAACTCTCTGATCTTTTGAAGCTGGTTCAAAATCAGAGTATTGGGAAGACAGAGAAAACCATGGTCTATGGAAGAAAGAAGAATCCTAGAAAGTTATTTTAAGTGCTAGATCTTTTTACATATGTACATGATGTAAATAGATTAGATTAGTATGCTGCCAGTTAGATAAGAAGGCTGTAAAGTGGTGACAATTGTGTGCTTATTGCTCAATTTATTAATAGAAGTTACTCTTTCACCACAAAAAGACATTTCTAAGATTATTAATTTATTAGTACTCTCGTGTGGTGGATGTACGAATTTAGTGTTTAGATACATTTAATTACTATTTTTTAGTTTCCGTTTCGCCATTTTCTTTCTTAAATTTTTTAAAGAAAGAATATATCAATGCCAATTGTCAAAATATTTTTCTCTACAGAGCACACTTGGCTAATAGTGTCTATCTTCAATCTCATCTCTATCCTTCTTTTGAGGTGCAAACCGCTTTAGTAACTCTTTTCAGTCTCATCTCTATCCTTCGTTCGTGGTGCAAACCGCTTTAGTATTTAAATAGTTTTCGTTACAGTTACCTATACTTTTATTAATTCAAAGCGTTGACATACATGTTAACACGTGCTTTCTCCCACCGCAAACAAACTGCAACTAAAATAGAGTAATAACATATGTTTTTTAGTAATTTCTTTTCATGAACATGTAAAGGGGTACTAGAAACCATTGCGATGATAGTTTTTTATTTTTCAGTCACATTTTTGTTATCTAGCAAAAGGTGTCACAACATCGATCGCTTCAATGAACCACATATTATTATATAACAGAGTGAATTAATTATACCTAGTGTTATAAAAGAACTAATTAAGCTGACAGCTAATTAAGATATAGTTTCAAATTTCTCTTAAAGCCATTTCATTGTCCATGATAATTAGTCACAGATTATTATATTGCTATGTAATGGTTCCATAGTAGATTGATCACCAAAATGAAAGAGTGAAAGATTGGTTCTAAGTAAAAGAAAAAAATCAGTCACATTTTGACTCTATCATATAATAAAAGTAGTGAACTTGCACATTTCTCCTTCATCACATTTTAGATAGCCGTGTCTTGACCTATGTTTCTTTTATTCTCGTTCTTTTTTTCCCCTTTCTCACAACACACGTGGTGCTCGAAATGACAAGTTGTTGATGCGTTACTTTATTTAGTATATGATGGAAACAAATTTAAGAAAAGGAAAGAAATTTATGTTAATTTTTTTGGAGATTTTTTTAATCATGGTATCCGACCAGAATCATATTTTAGTCAAACATTAATCACTTGAAAATCAGTGGGCAACTCAAAACTACACCAAATCAATAAATTGGAATAAAAATATTAACTATTTTACTAAATGAAGAAAATTTACCTACCATTCTACGCATATATTAGACACCAAATCTAAAGAATGATGAACAATTAGTAATTCAATTAAATCTCCCTCATTCACCATAATTAAATATGGTTTCCTTCCCTCAATATAGTTAGTATTTTAATTACCAACCAAAATTTGACTTCAATCAAACAAAATAATCTTTAAAGGATGAAAGAAAAGAACGAAAAAAACTTCTCTCTTTTTGAAGAATTTTTTTATAAAAAAAAAAATCAAGGATTGAGAAATTTATTTTAGAATGCCAAAATATCAAAATAACCCCAACTACACTGGAAAATACATTCACTACTAATTAATATGAAAGGCATGAATGACCTTCATACATATTACCTACGCAATGAAGAGCAGTACGAAGAATGTAAATAAAGCATTTTAAATTAGACGATGTAATATGTCATGCCATATAAGACACATCCATACGTTTAGTGACGTCTGTTACTCACCTCTGTTACATTTTATCCATTTAATTTTCCTTCTGCCATTATAAATAGAGAACCCAAATAACCAAATGCTCATCACTTCAAGTTTCAATGAACAAATTTTCTTTAAGAGGAGATAAACATATAAAGCTTATGTTATTAGGTTTCTTCAAAAACTTATATAGGATTCGTGTGGAAAAAGCACAAATGCCTAAATTCATGAGCGTCTCAAGGATTATGTGCTTCTAAAATTCTTTGTTTTTCTATACAAGAAATTTGTATAACTTTTCTTTTGATTGAAAGAGTTTTTTTAGTGGACGTGATTTCCTCTTAATGGTGTCTAACTTAGTTGGAACTATGGAGGATTTCAATAAAATAGTTTCAGCCATTGATGGTAATGAAAGAGAAATGATCTCTCTCTCTCTCTCTCTCTCTCTCTCTCTCTCTCTCTCTCTCTCTCTCTCTCTCTCTCTCTCTCTCTCTCTCTCTCTCTCTTTTCTTATTTTGGTATCTCTCAATTGGTCATCTTAATTTTGTTTTCAATGAGAATGTTTGAACTTTTGCCATTTTCTGAATCTTTTTCTATTGACGCATATTCGTTTGATATGTGTTTCAGGTTGTTATGCTTGTCTTCATAAGTTTCTGAACTGAACCTTATTATATTAATTTGTTTTGCTGCAGGTTCAATTTCTTATTGGGGGGTCTTTCATTTGTTGAGATTTCTGCTTAGATCCTGAGATTATAATCATAGTAAGTTCTTCAAGTTGAGAAATTTAATGTTAAATTTTGAGTTTGGATTGTGAGGTAGGTTTCGTTAAAATGCTCACTGATAAACTACCAAAGCAAGTTTCAATTTTTTTTAATATAATAATTTTTATTGGTTAATTCATTCATTTTACAGAATGAAAACTAATTTTTAATTGGATTTCTGTATGATTATTTGATTGTAAATGTATGTTCTTCTCAATTTCTGTTTAGAATACATTGTGTCCCTAGATTATATTTTCGATTCTCTTTAAATTCTTCCAATTTGGGGGTTCGTTTTGTTAATGCCCCTTTTAGATCTTTTGTGGGTCTTTTTCCAGCTGTCATTGATGTTATATATGTACAAATGGTCTCTCTATATATTGTTCATTTACTTTGGCAATTGATTCAAAAATTTAATATCCAAACATTTTATATCGACATTGACTACGTATTTTGGTATAAATATGGTTTTGCCCATTGACATTTGTAATATAAAGATCTTCTTTTCATAATGGGGAAGGTAGATTAAGAAACCCAATAGTACTTTATATTTTTCTGAGATGAAACAAAAATATTTTTTTGGTATTCCATTGAACTGAATTTATTAAGATTGGCTAAACTTGTTAATTTCAGTGATCTTTCAACCTTCTTGGTTTCTACTTTCTACTTTCTAGTTCATGAAATTCTTGAGGAACAATACCTAGAGTGTAGTGTATTTTAATTATCAATATTTCATTTATATTCTGCACCTGGCATTAGTAAACATTAAACAAAGATTGTGTTTCTAGATTTTACTCTTTCTATATGGTCACTTTTCTTGTTAATTTTGTGCTTGCTAAATACTTGTGTATATAAGTTTGTGACAATGATATTTTTCCATTTTAAGACGTTGTGACATTTTACTAAATTATGATGAAATAAACTTGTAGGTTTAATTTCGACTAAGCCATATTGTGAGAAATAGTATCACATCCCATCATGAAGGACTTGCTAAGTGCATTTGATGTGACTCAAACTGCAAAGTGAAGACGTGAAATTATAGCCGATAAAGCAAAAGACATGAAAGATAGTGGTGATTCGGCCACAAATTCACTCATCTCAGAGATCGGTTGTGATCTCTCGATGGAGTGCTTAGCGCGTTGCACCAGGGTAGATTATGGCAAAATTTTGATGGTGAATCGCTGTTTCAAGTCCATTATCTTAGGAGGAGAAAAGCTTTATAAGCTAAGGAGGAAGTTAGGCATCGTTGAATATTGGGTTTACTTCTCATGTAATAGTGCGGAATGGGAGGCCTTTGATACAGTTGGGCGTAAATATAGGGGTTTACCACCCAATTCAGCTAGTGAATGCTTCAAGTGCTGTGACATGGAGTCGCTAGCTGTGGCTACCGAACTTCTCGTCTTCGGTAGGGATGTCCAATCACTTAGTGTTTACAAGTATAGTGTAGTAACGGACTCATGGGTAGAAGGAGTGACTCCAAACACCCCAAGTGCCTATTTGCCTCTGGCAGTGTTGGCGAGATTGCTATCGTGGTTGGTGGTTGTGATTCAAAAGGGAAGATTCTAGGCTCGGCAGAAATGTATGATTCGAATACAGGAACGTAGCGACCTCTCCCCAGCCTAAATACACTAAGGAAACTGTGTTCAGGTGTGGTTATGGACGAGAAATTTTATGCAATCGAGGGGATTGGGCTTGGGAAGAAAGGTATAGACGGTGAAGTTGGTAACCCGAAAGTGCTTACATCCGGCGAGGTATTTGATATGAAGACCAATGTTTGTGTGGAAATTCCGAACAAGCTTCCTGGACACATTGTAGCGGGAGTTGATGAATATGCTCTTGCAGCCACGACGTCGCCTCCTTTACTTGCTGTTGTGAAGAATGATTTGTACGTAAAAAATCACGACGAAATGCTTTTGAAGAAATACAACAAGAGCCTGAATATTTGGACGACAATCGGTAGATTATCGGAAAAGGCCTCCTCGACAAATGGTTGGGGATTACCGTTTAGAGGTTGGGTGATTTACTCATAGTCGTTGGTGGCCTTCCGGCTATGAATTATGGGTTCCTTGAGATCAATGCATGGGAGCCGAAGGAAGGTCCTCCAGAGTGGACTTTGCTCAGTAGGAAGGATTGAAAGAGTTTTGTCTATAAGTGTGCTATAATGGGTTGTTGAGCCACATTCTTTGAATTTGGAGGAACATTGACTCAGAATAGATTCTCAACTCTTAGGAAACCATTTTAATGCTCATGTTATTTTTATGTCATTTGCATATGACCTAGAGGAATTAATTTTTGGTTATTAGTAGCTGGAAAAAAGTGAAAAAAGAAATATTTTATACATTACAGTAATAGATGCTTTTTTTTTTTTTAACTTCGTGGTCTAAAATTTTGTGAGGTTTTATTTGCAACAGTAATGAAACTTTAGTTTTAAATGATGATCCTGATGATTTTGGTAGGAAATGTCTTTTGTTTCTGTATTTCAATAAGCTAGTTATTTTTTATTAAGTATTATTATTAAGTATTTAAATAAAATTGTGAATACAAAATTAGTGATTTGGTTGGACCCATGTGTACAACACCTGAATGGTGAAGTCTTCTCACTCGACAGTAAATTCCAATCTGTGTCTCCCCTTCAAACTTCCATACCATGTCCTTCTACACACCCCCTAGCCACAATTCTCGTGCTGATGAAGATTATTTCTAATTTTCCAAGCAACATGACAATTTCCAAACAAGATCATCGTTCCAACTTTGATATAATTCAATCACCTCCCATTTTGTTGTTAAGATTACCCTCTAGAATACCGTAAACTACCTTAAGCTTTGCTGTTGTTCTCAACGTCAGGGGGAAAAGTAATAAGGTGCACACTTTCTTTTTTTGATGATTTTTGTCCTTAACTACTTGACACGAGATAAGCACTTTGCACATGTGAAATTGATCATTGAGAGCAATTTAGGGTTGCGAGAGAAATTGTGTCTCGCTGATTTTCTCTAGTAAATATTGAAGGGAATTGCGAATGATTAATTTATTTACTCTCATTTGCGAAGGGAGTTACTAATGAGTCATTCCTTTAATCTCATCATTCATTTTCTTAGATGGCTGATTTCATCTCTATTTACCCAATTCTGGCGAGTGCAAATTAAGAACTGGGAGGCAATAGTAATTGTTGCCAAAAGATTGCAACTACCACACATTAGAAAATTGTCTTCATTAATGTCACTGTAATTCTTAACAACCATCACGGTGTACTATACAACATCTATAGTGATACGGATTTTGTCTGTTATTTTTATTATATCATAAGTTGCTTAAAATTTCTAATCACACATTCATATCATTGTCGTGGTTTTGTCTTTTCATATCCTTCAAGACATAACAAAATTAGTTTTTTCCACATTAAATCGCCAACAACGTACCACATTTTCGGAACACTCAGTTTTGTGCTTTTTCCCAGGGAGAAATAGTTTAGGCTATGACCTTTAGTTGTCACACTCTCAAAGCTACAACATATAAGGTAGAGGTAATGGATGTTGACAAGCAATGGCAGGGTGAAGGAATTAAAACGCAGTGGATTAACTCCAGCGGCTCTGGAAGACCTCACTCAGAAGAAAATTATTGTTCATTTAATTATTACTTTAGGGTTTGTGGAGGTTGCTAAATTTAGCGGAGAATCATTCCGTTGGAATTATGTCATGCTGTTTAGCATTCAAAATTATGTAAATTCTATAAAGCTCAATAAAATTATATGAAATGGGAAGAATGTTGTCCATGTAAATTCTTTTTACATATCTAATGCTCTCCCAACTGTTTGATTTCGTCTTTTTCTTATATATATACTTAGCTTTCATTGGAGCGGGCGTGTTTGCATTTGTAGCAAGAATGGTTAGTGGTGAGCAAAGAGATTCCAAAAGGCTTCAAAAATTTGTACCCTTTTTTACTATGACTGGGAGACTATTTCTTATTTCCTTGATGTCTGATGTAAATTGAGTCATGCGGTCAACCTATGGTGTCTTTTAGATCTTTAATGTCCCCCAAAATCGTCACGTATGGTTTTCGTCAATCATTCTATTAGTATTGAAACCATGAGGCTTTGGGGTAATTAGTCATCTTACGTACATATTTTTCCTTCGTTTTACGGGATGTAACCAGATAGCTTTATCTATTTGTAGCTTGCAGGATTCTGAGGAACCATAAAGCCATAACAGATTTTGTTTCAAAGTTGGCCATTGAAAGTTTTAATATCAAAATAATTCTAAACATATAGGAAAAAGAGGTTAAAAACATTATGCTGGATCAAAATGTGATATACAAAAGGTCTGCAAAAAATTTAGACAATTCATCGACCATGTCTTCACTCCCAAATGTGTCAAAGTTAATTCATTTGGAAGAACAAAGGCAAGTTTTTTTATTTTTTATTTTTAACAAAAGTACCTGCTTAATATTATAAATTCCTAACCTATTACAATTCATTTGTTATATGCTAACCTATGAACATAATCTACTTCCTCCCTACTAGCTTTAATAATTTGGCAAAAATTAAAACTTGCAAGTAGGCTTCGTGTTAGTAACAAAGGCAAGTTACTTTGTCTAATTTTAAATTAGTGCTTTAGGAATTGACGGAGTTGCCATTTTTATGTAATAAATCATTTGAATATATTTTATTGGGACTTCTTTTTTTGGCACAACTTTTCTTGGGACTTTGATTTACCGTAATTCTAACAAGAAGCTAGGGTATAAAAACCACTATATACAATATACACATTCACCAAAATTATTTTTCCAGAGGTAATACAATAAAAACAGGCAAAAATTTTGATATATTTTTTAAATTATTTGATTTTTTCGCTAGTGGTCTGATATAAAAAATAAAGTATCTTATATGATTGAAGAATAGATGTTCCTGGCCAATACATTAACTACACCGCACATTGCACAGTTTGAAAGTTAGCTAGTTTTAAAAAAAGAGTGCTTACAATTTCTATATGTAATTAATTTACGAAAATCAATTTACTTAATTGCCTTAGTTCAGTGATCACAGTTAACTTATCATATATTTGTCGGATTGATTCTTAACATTTATATCCTCACCAATGTGTAATAGAAGAATCAATTTCAGTATTTTACAGAAACGTCTCTTATTATAACCTCCTTGCATTGGTTTGAAACTGAAAATAAAGAAATTACTTGCATATGATGCTAATACATTCTTTGATTCCTTACTACACAATTTAAACAATCAAAATAAAGTGGTGATGATTTTTTTTCTTGTGCCTAGGGTGAATTTTGTGATACTAATTAAACTTGCATATACAGAGACTAATTAACAGTCACAATTTTAATTTTTCTACAGTTCACAATAGGTTTGGAAGCTTTATACATTTAAAGGTGATCAACAAACTTATGTAAATGCAACCATCCCTAAATTAATGTGGTGATACACTTTAGAACAAATTTTTTTTGGGTGATTTTCTTTGCCTACATTTAGGCTTAATCTCTTTATTGTTCTTGCTCTCTAATACAGAAAGAGTAATCTGTATTGTTTACCCTGTAGATTAGGACAAAAACACAATCTTACCCTTTACATTTATATTTAAACATTTTCTTTCCATACATTTAATTTTAATACTTTTTTCCTTTTTTCCATTCCGATCCATAATTCCAATCATCTTAGAATTCTTTAATGTGATGTGATCTTGTGATGCTGTCATGGCATGTTGCTTGCCTATTCTCACTTGAGACTAAAAGTTAGAATTTAACCTGTGGCACCATGAAAGAGCCTGCAATGTAGCGCCTCGATCAAGAAGTTGTTTGTTCCAGTGAAGTGATATGAATATTGTCTTTAGCAAGTATCCTAGTTTTCCTCGCCAAATAAACAAGATTTAAAATGGAAAAAGTACATAGTGAACCCATAAGCAGTTGTATATAATATATACAAAAGAGAAAAAAGAGTAAAATAATGTGATGATGCATAAGATAAAAAGTTAGATTCTTCAAATGTTGTACACTTCATCGTAGGCTCGTGTGTTTTGCATTTATAACTGTCACTAAAATCAGGAAAAAGAGAAGGAAGGAAATTTGATTGCTTTTGCGTGCTGCCTGTAACAAGGGGAAAAATATGATACAACTTCAATTTGGTCATTTTTTTCTTTATTTTTGGTGAAAAGGAAAACAAATATTGCATAATAGCATGGCCACATGATTAGTAGGATACAACTGCAATGCCAAGGTTTAATTATCTTTCAACAGTTAGGTTTTGGGAATTTAGTCGTACTAATTCTCTCTTATTAGTTGAGGCCAAAAAAAATTAGCTACAAAATATCCAAGTTCTATATTAACATCAATTTCAGGTTTTTTTCAAAAAAAAAAAATTCTCCAAGAAGCCATGCTTTAGTTATTCATTGTCCTTGTCGCTATTTAAGTTATTCAATATTCAAGTTTTCTTTTTTTTATTTTTATTTTAAGCTTGATCAAAGATTCTATGAAATTTCAAAACACGAATGATCCTTGGAAAAAAAAACATTAAAAGAATAGATGATCTGCTGAGGGGGACAAAGGCAACATTTGGAACTTGGATATTTTGTAAAAGAATAGATGAATAGATGAAAAAAACATTAAATTTCATCGCTTCATTTATTATTGTTTTTTTTGTTTATTATAGCATTTGGATACCTAAAGTTGGTATTCATTTTTTTTGAAAGTTCTATAGACTATAGGTTTATAGCCTATATGGATGATCATGGTGAGTGATTGCGCCCTTGTGGACCGATTGCCTTATGTTTCAATAGATATTCATAATCATATCCTCAGGGGGACAAAGGCAAGAGTCTCAGGGATAAAAATATTTCTGTCTCACCGGTGGTATATGGCAGCAACATGAAACCGGATAAGCGCTTCGCGAGGTGGAATTCAAAAGAAGTTCTCGAGTAGGGGATATTCTCCCTGCCTCAGATGGAGAAATGATCAGCATCAGGGAGATTACAATAGAGAAGAAAAGAAGTATTGTCATCAAAATCGAACTGATAAGAGAAT